ACATAAATCTGTAGCTTCATTGTATTCTACCTGATATAAACCAAAGGTAGGTTGGTTGGAGTCAATGAGCAAAATTCCCCAGCTGGTGTAACTCAGCAGGGGTTGGTTTCAGAAGCTGGAGATTATCCCCAGGGTAGATTTGAGCTAGGACATTCTAAAGAGCTGGAGGGAATGAATGGTGCTTGGGTCCCTTACTCCCTTCAGCTCCTTTAGCCACTCCTGCCTCATTACTGTATAGGCTGGTGAATTGTGACTACCTGGTTCATTGAGCTCACTTCAAACAATGAAACACACATATGCCAATACATTGGTATGAGTCCATCCTGGAGCTGAAGTCATCTATCTGATGGGCATATCAGCAGTTGGGTGTCTAACTAGCCATGCAAGCTGGCAACTACTCATGGCATGCAACTGGTGTGCCCAAGCTAATTGTGCTGATAACCCCCACCTCCATTAATCGGTGCTTGCAACCTGACACCTGGAACTGTGTAGGCCCAGAGGCAAAAACCCAGCTGCTATGCTGTATGTAAAATGGAAGTTCCTGTGCAGTTTGTGTATGTGAACATTTTTGGGTATGAGGGTATGTAGTGGTGCATGGGGTGGTGTGTGTCCATGTCTGATGATCACATGTTTGGGCTAAGTCTCCGTGCAGCACCCAGCACACTGGGGTTCTAGTCCATGACTGGGGCTTCTGCAAGCTGTGTACAAACGGCACCTTGTCAGCTGGAAATTTATCCTCCAGGAGAAATATTGATGGGCACTTCTAAAATAGAGGAAGGTGATAACATTCTAACCTGACTATTGCCTTGGTGTCTGTTAGATCCTTATTAGCGACAGTTTCCCCTGGGATCCTGGGTGATGGAGGGCAATAATATGTGGTTCCTACTCATATGTGGTTTGCAGTTGTGGTTTGGGATTTGTGTATACTGGCAGCTTGTGTGTATCTATGCATGGTGGATTGCAAGCAAATTGGTATATTGTGTGCCTGCCTGTATATATAGGTGTGAACTGTATACATGAGCTGTGGTTGTGTCATGGTGAATTTGGGTTGTATGTGAATCAGTTAGGTTGCCAGTGTTAGTAACTGGCACACTGCTATCTCCTTCACCTCCAGCAGCCTGGTGATGTATCACCAGTTCAGAGTGATGGTATGTCAAGTACCAATGCTTTCCCAAAGCATTGACTAGGAAGAACTGCTGCTGCCCCCCTTTGATATCTAAGCAACCTTTTGCCCTCCTCCTGAGAGCCTGGTGACTCATTAGAATGATGAGAAAATACCTCACAGCTCATTAACATCCCACTGGCTAGGGGTCCCTGTCTTCCTAGACTTCCCAGCCCCATAGATCCAGGTGCCAGGAATCTCCTCCAACTCCCAGCTGTCAACAACCACCCCACTCTTTCTCTTCAACACTTCTTAAGCATGCTTGATGTGGGGGGCCATGGATCCCAGGGCTAAGTACAGGCAGTCAAAAAGCCAGAGGATGAATTGATTCAGCATTTGCAAGTTAGTTTAAGCTGCAAAGATTGAACCAATAAGCAAATGAATAGACATTTACTTTTGATTTGGGAAATGCAGCCATATGCCTACAATGGCTCAAGCCAGAAGCTAGGAAGCACTATAACATGGTTCTCTGGCACATAGTCAGCATGGGCCATGTGTTTGCTTCCTCTTCTTGCTCCCCCTGAGGTCTCTGGGATTTGCAGTCCACAATCACAAAGGCAGGACTCTGCAGGGTTGCACATTACTTCCTCTTCCTGCTTCCAGGTGCCTCTGTGATTTGTCGTCCACAGTTGCAGCCCTCAGTAAGTTTAGCAGGGCAGAACAGCTTTGTACTCTGGGGAAGGGAAGTTTAACCCCCCTCTCTGGCCCCAGGTCCCAGCTAGGGTTTACTTGGTGGGGGTCCAGTGAGCCAGCCCTCACTGCTCCAGCTAGAGAGCAGAGTGGGGACAGTCCTGCTCTCTAGAGTAGATAGCCCAGCCCAGCCCAGGGCTTCAGAATGCTGTGGGGCTCAGATTTAACTTGAACCAGGAAGGGGCCTGGGACAGAAGTTGCATGAACCTGTTTGACCTGAATCAGTTATGTCTGATACCACACACAACCAGGTTTATCTTAAACCAATTTCAGCTATTTTGAAACTGGTTTATGGACACTAAACTTCTGTCTTGTTTCAGGTTTAAACCATTTTCTGATCACTTAAACCAGTTTATGTGTAACTTCTGTCGCTAGCCCAAGGCACAAGGACTTCATGGCCTGGCTCCTTCCCTCCACTCCCATTGCTAAATAAGCAGCTTTGTCAGGGAGGACAGTTTTGAGGGAGTCCTGGTAAGGAAGAGGGTGAACGCCACACCTTTACCTGTTCATACCTCATCATAAGGGATCCTTTTTTCCACAGCAACAGCAAAGAAGAAAGTCCTGAAAGCAATGGGAGGATTCTTTGTTGACGCCTCCATTCTCTTCTGCGCAAATAACTCCTTATCCCATTACAGCTCTTCATATGCTTGGGCAAACTGCACCATATGCACAGACAGCATTGGGCTGGCTCCTTACGTGAAAACAAACCCTCCGAGAAGCAAGCAGATTAGGTCTGTCTTGGTGGGAGGGGGGCAAGGACAACAATAGAATGGCAATCTTTCTTCAGAGCCCAGCATCTCCTCACTGATGAGATTATTGTCTCAACACCATTAAGCTCCAGGAGCAGGAAGGGGATCTGAGATGTACTCTCCACCCACACATGCACTACCTTATCTGATTAGGGGCCCAGGGAAAACTAAAAGCCTCTGGAAAATTAAACTGACCAAAGAGAGTGAGCAGAGGGGAGTTATTGGAAAACCCAGAGCAAATGGTTTTTTCTTCCCCTCATAAAGGCTTTTCATTTTCTTTTTTCTCTTGGCTGTCCAGGGAGGAAAGAGAAAAGATCATAAGACATCTGCAGAAAGATATCTGAGAAAATCAGGGACAGAAGGGAAACCTCAGAGCAGGTTTCCTGATAGTGAGTGACTGCACAGTTGACCTAGTCATGAGTACAGTACTGTGAAGGTCACAGCAAAGCCTGGGGAAGAGGAGGGTCAGGGACTCGCTCAGGAATCCTGGATGAATTTTGAGGGTGTGACTCTTCAGAACGGCACAGCTCCTACTGAGCAATGCGGCCAACTCCCACCACTGCAACAGCAGCCTGGGAATAACTGGTGCTTCCACAAAGCCTGGGCTCCGGGATTTTCACAGGCCAGCTGGGCACTGTGTGTGTATCAATTTTATCACAGGCCAACTGGGGTGTTTATTCCAACAGTTAACAGAAAGATAAATGCGATAAGCAGATAAGGCAGTATAAAAGAGCTAATCGTAAATAATAACAACAGATAATAACAACAGATACATAGCTAGATCAATCTGTCACAGGCCTACTGGGCACTGCGAGGGTATTAGCCACACTGGGCTGCTCAAAACAACAGACAGACAGACATGGGTTGGCAATTTATCGATAGTCCCTCAATGCCAGGTGTGCGCCAAGTGATTCCAGTGAAGTCAGGTGTCCCTAATGATCGACGCTGTCAGAGGGATTACTGGGGAAAGTCCCTTGGTCAGGATCCGATCCTCACTCACACCGGGAGTCTGGGGTCCGGGCGTGGAACAAAAATGACCGTTCTGTTCCCTCCTTCCTGCTGGTTACCTGATGCACGTGTTTTTTATACCTAGTCTTATGTTAATCTGTTGGCCTCAGGGCCACGCACAATGTTGCCCTATAGCTGTTACCCTATGGGATTGAAAGGTGTTAAAATTATCATAAAAAATTACTACCCAGACTCAGGTTTATCCAATAAGCAAATTCTGATGCAGCACCTTTAGTTTTGAAATTGACATCGCTCCGCCTAAATCCCAACCCCTTTTAGGCTTCATTTGAATATGCTTTCTTGGGATATGCTTTCCTGGAATGTGGTGGGTGTGTCAAGCAGTTAGATCCAGTTTTTATTGCTAAGGCTGAACCCTGAGCAAAAAACCATTAGGCCAGCTAATCTCACAGCTACAGCTTTGCCTATGGGGCCCAGTCAGTTCCATGAACAGTTAATTTATCATTTTGGTTAAACTTATGACGGACAAGTTACATTTGCAGTTTACAAACTTATAAGCTAATATTAACTAATATTACCTGTTTAGGCAAAATACCAAATGCCTCCAAGAAGCATATATTATTGCTTATTAATCCCTCTCATTCTGGCTGTCACACGGGAGTCCTGTAATTATTGTCTTGTGAATGTTTTTTGTTTTTTTTTAAATGGGCCTGTGTGGCTTTAGTGTCTTCTGTTCTTAAAACATGGTCTTAAAATCCACTAACAGCCAGCATGTGGTATTTAAAATCACCTGATTTCAGGGTGGGATTCAGGCACTACAGTTCCAACTAGGTTTCTCAAAGTGTGTGTCTTCTCTAAATCTGTTGGGGGGCCATGATGGGTAAGTTTGCCAAACAGCTTAGTACTCATTACTCCTCCCCAGTCCTCCAAGCTCATTGGAAAAAAAATCCTGCCCCCTAAATAGGTGATTCCAAAAATTCCTAGGTGACTCTTGTTGGCCTTAGTCTGCCCATCTGTGTTGGAGGGCTAGAGGCAGAGGCACCAGAATGGGCACCAGGGGCTGCAGCCGATGTGAAGCAATCCTGTTCCCCAGCTGCAGCAACCTGAGCCTGTGTTGCTACTGCAAGAGCTGCAGCAGTAGCAGTTGCTGGGACTCAGCTCCCCTTCCCTCCTGAGTTGTCCAGTGGTCAGTATAATTCCCTCCCGCCTGTGCTCAGGGTGCTGAAGAAACTCACTAAGCAGTCACTTGCTGTGTGTGGAAGAGTTATGGAAAAGTGGGAGCACCACCTGCAATGGAGATGGAACCTAGGGAGTGTCCCTTTCCTTCTTCCACTGTTGAACGATTGAGCTCTGCTCAGTTGATAGAATTCATTACTGCTTTGGCTAATGTGGCCTGAGACATGAAATTAAAAATAAAAAATGTATATATTCCTCTGCTTGAGCAAGGAAGATACCACGTTCGCACAGGTGTTTTTTTCCAGAGTGAGGCTTGTCCCTTGCATACCAGGCAGGCTGACCCCTGTGAGTTTCCCTGAATGTGGGAAACTCAACTGTACAATTTCGTGGCAATGGGGGACTGTGTTCACACCCCCCGCCTCCTCCACCCCAGCTTGCTCCTTGGCCTTTTGGCTAGGAGCCAGTGAGACTAGGCATCTGAACTTCAAGGCCTCCAGGCCTGGGGCTTGCACATAGGATGCCTACTGTGGATTTGGAAATTACCCAAAGCCCAAAACTGATGAGTCTGGGAAGGAAGGTACTTGCCCAGTGGTAAAGCCACACACACATACTTGAATGATCGAGCTCTGCTTTGATCAATTGAAACTTGCAACTTGACTATTGGGTTTTGCCAAACAGAGTTTGGAACTGATTTGGCTCTTGGAACAAAATTTAAATTAAAAAAGAAATTCCTCTGGTTGAGCCACTGGTGCTAGGCCCAGTGAGGGGCCCTTGCAGGAGTTCTGCTCAGCACTTTCTCACTGCCTTGGGAGTACCTGAGGCTGGATACTAGGGAAAGTTATTACCAGAGGCTCAGCAATCAGGCTGCCACGCAACTGTGTTGTGAAGGGAAAGCTGAAGTGGGACGGGAGAGCACTCTGGAGCTTGGGTGTCAGCACTTACTTTGCATGCTGTCCAGCTGTTTTGCTGGCCCCATCCCCTTCCCCACACCTCAGCCTTCTATAGAGGCAGTCCCTGGGGTCTGACCCCCTCCAGTCCCATGGACATTCTGTCTCAGACCTACTTTTAATGTATAAAATCCCTGATTATGTCATTCAACGTGTCCACGTCACTTCCCAGCTCTGCTTTCTAGGAGCCTTGTGCTTCCACAGTCACCTCCCTCACAGGATCCATCAGATGCTCTCTGCTCCAACTAACCTCACACGTTTCCAATGCACTGTCGTGAGTCTGGCCAGTTGAGCTTCCCCAGGGCACAGTGCCCTTTGACCCTTCTATCTCTAGGTATAACAGATAGCTGCAGATCTCTCCAGTACCTTTTCTCTGAGGATCTCAAAGCATGGGTGAGCAAGTGCTTCTCAGAACTGGCCAGTACAGTATATTTTACATGGTTTGCAGCCAAATTAAGCCAACCTGATCTTAAACTGGATTAGGCATGTCCACACCAGGTTGGTTAATAAATGGACATATATGTTAACAGGGCCTTGGTAAAGGAGGGGATGCTAGGAATGTGAACTGATATCATTGCACTTGCATTTTCACTGAAAAGAATACACCCCTATCTTGGGTGAGGGTTATAGGAACTGACATACAAGTAGGGATAGTCTCAGCTTGTCTTTCTGTGCTCAGGATGAGTTCTCAATGGAAAGAAACTTCATTTTTATTGCAAAACAGAGTCTATGTGAGCTGGGTTCTCTAGGCTGGACTTTGCTGCTTAAATGAGTGCACACCTGAAGTGTGAACTGATTCATTGTACATCAAAGTGCTGCTCTGCTCAGCTCTGTGCAGTAGCTGTTCAACTGTCCTATTTCTGGTCTCTGGGTCTCATTCTCTGACTTACTGTGCTGTTATAAAGGGGTTATTACACAGGCCTCCTTGGAGTTATGATCAAGCTGGCAGAACTGACAGCAGTGTCGTATAGTGGCTGGAGTTTGGGCAGTCAGCCAGGAGCCCTGGGTTCAATTTCTGCCTTTGCTGTTGATCTGCTCTGCCACGTGAGGCTAATCACTTCCCCTCCCATCCTTTATCTCTCTTGTCTCTTTCAATCAAGCTATATGAGGCAGATGCATTATGTATTTGCAGAGCATCAAGCACAATGCAGTTCTGATCTGGCACATCTAGGCACTGCCATCCTATAAACACAATAGTTTAAGGGAAATACCATCCCACATGCACATTTGCTATATTCAACAGAGCCACTTGGCCAGGGGTGGGCAAAATACAGCCTACAGGCCAGATCCATCCAGCCAGGCCATTCTATAAGGCCCGAGAGATCCCTAAAGAATTTAGAAAATATTTATCTGGTCCTGGCTGCCTGTCAAGAAGACAGGCACTGGAACCCAGGGGGAGCCAGCAGCAGGAGGCAGGCAGCCCACCCCTAGCCATTTCCCAGCTTTCTGCCCCCACCCTGCTCCAGCACCATGTGGCCCCAGGCTGCATGGCCAGACTGGGGAGCACAGGGCCCTGCCAGTATATATGTGTGTGTGTGTGTGTGTGTGTGTGTGTGTGTGTGTGTGTGTTCCTAGGGTGAGTCCCACACGTACACCCCACCACACATATGCACCCACACCACCCTCGCACTGCCATACATAAACCCCAGCTACCCTCTCCCCACACACAGTCCCCCATAGCCCCCAGACCCCACATATACACATACACACACACACACATTCCCTCACCCCACTTACCCACACACCCACAGCCCCCAGAAACCTATACCCACCCCCTACAATAAGCATAAGACTTCATTTAAGCTATTGTGAGATCACCTCTATGTACACTACACAAACACATGTAAACCAGGGCAAAAATATTATTTTAAATCAAATTAATGAACATTTTAGATGTTCACTTTTTAGAATATAATTTGGTATTTTTCTTGTTGTGAGATGGCACGACCCCTTGCTAAAAGGAATATTTCTAAGGTCAAGGAGAGGGACTTCTGGTGGCAAAGGTCAGGGGTTAAGAGGCAGGACTTCTGGTCCCAAGATGGCAACCAGTTAGTGTGGCACCCATCAAGGGGCAGGGCCACCATTACAGCCCTTGACAGCTTGCCAAAACTCAGTAAGTGGCCCTCTGTTTGAAATAATTACCCGCCCCTGTGCCTGGCACTTCTCAGGCAGAACACTGTTCTGTTGGAAAATGCTGATCTGCTGAAATTGAAACATCCTATGGAGATGGTTCAGTTTTGACAAAGGTCCAGTGAGAATACACATGCCAGGCTTCCATTGGGAACTGGAGCTTGTTTCCTACCAGTTCATGCACTCAACAGCAGCAAACCTTCTGAGAAGCTGTACACAGGGAGTCCTAAGAGCCCTGGCTCCCAATCTTTGAGGCTCCTCCATAATTTGTGAAGCTCCCAGGATCTTGGCTCTACTGAAGCTTTCAGGCTGCCAGCTTTCCTTGCTACTTGGTGAGATAAAGGGTACTCAGTCTGGAAGACCTAGGAGCATTAAGCTCCAAGATTTCCAGAGTCCATAGCTCCAGTCAGGTCAACTGCCCAGAATCCATGACCACAGGCTTCCCTCTTCCATGAAGTACTTCAAAACGTGGGTGTTCTATTTCATATTAGAATGAAACCACATTTCTGTCCCCAACCGTTGAAGTCTTCAAGAGGAAAGTGAACAGACACCTTGCTGGGATCATTTGATCTCCGCAGTATTCCTGCCCAGAACAGGGGGGGCTGGACTTGATGATTTTTCAAGGTCCCTTTCAGCCCTTAATTTCTATGATTCAAACTCCAGTTCTCAGAAGAAAGGAATGAGGCTTTTCTGCCCTCTCTCACAGTGAGGAGCGCTCACTGCAGTTGCAGCCTGCCTGTCAGGATTATCCTGCATGTGAAGTCAAGCAGGACAGGGGGAGGGAGGTGAGGTGCTTGGCCTTGTTAGGACAAATCCAAATTACAGTAGGAGTCCTCTTGATAACTTCTCTGTCTCTTCAACAAAGAGCAGCCAAGCCTAGCTAGGGGGAGGGTAAAACTGAGATCACCCAGTGCCAGCTGCATTTCAGACACGTGCTCCAGGCTAAGTGACCGCTCTCCCCCAAGCCTCCAAAAAAGAAAATCAATACCCATGCAGTACATTCACAGCAGCACAGCCAGCAATTAGGAGGCTATTCCCTGAGGAAGAATAGCTGCAGCACAGCGGCTTCTGGGAGCCAGGTCAGCTCCCCTTGTCTTAATGCAGGGCCAGGGGCAGGTGGAGGTGACTGATTCCTAGCCGAAAGGCTAGCTGGAAAGGCTTCTCGTAGGCAGCATGATTTTGTAAGGCCTGCCCAGCCCCTGACAAGCTATTGGCATATACTCCTGAGCTGCAATTTACTAAGCAACTCAAGTATGGCAGGTAGAACCACAGGGACTTGGGCAGCCTTTGGAGTAATATTTACCAGCCAAAGCCAGCAACAGAAATGAAAGCACCAGCTTCCCAGAAAATATTGGTATCCAAATTGCAAGTAAGTGGGGTCCTCTGCCAGGCAGCTCCTGGCATCTATGCCAGTATACATCACACTTGTCGGCCCCTCCCCTTCCCATCATCCTCTCACATACAGTGAAGATGGGAAGGTGACATGAAGGCTCTTCAGAACTACCTGCAAAGGGTGCTGTGAGGCTCATGAGTGCCTGATGAGCCACAAACCACCTGAACCAGCCTGTTTATTAGAAGCACAGGATCTCTGCATGAGCAAGCATGGTGAAACATGGCCTCCCTGTATCTCAGTAGGGCTGAGACAGAAGCAGCCTTGGGGAGGAGTCCAGGCAGAGCCTGGAAGTCATTAGGAGACGTTGAGTGGGGAACAGGGATGCAATAACAGTTGCCTGTGTCTCCCTGTGTGACTCTCTGGCGTGGAACTTGCAATGCCTGACCCAGTTTCCTGAGCTGTGTGGTGATTTGGATGCTGTCAGAAAACAATCCATTCCAGAACCCAGCGCAGTGCCCCAGAGGAGATGGGCAGTGTCTCCCACTGTTCACCCACATGTCCAGGCTTGTGTCTTGAGCAGCCCTTAACTTCTATGAGAGCAGCTAAGATGCCTACTCACACTGCTCCTCACAAGCAATGGAGGAAGGTTTAGGGGACTAGAAACAGGTGGTGAGAAATCTTCCAGGCATGTCCTAGGAGCGGGACCATTGCTCTCCCTGACCAAACTCACAGAAATGGCTCCAATCCTGGGAGAGGAGCTGAAGAGGCTGTGGCAGAATACCATCTCTGTCTCTCCCCAAAACTCTGCTGTCTATTTGGTTACCATGGTCACTGCAGAGGGCAGACACCTCTGACCCTGAGTTGTAACGTGAGCTGGATACATTCCTGAGGGAGGGGGAAACCTGCTTCCTCTGTCTACATGACTGGCATCATATACCTGGTTGAGGGGCTTAAGCTCCCTATTGTTCTAAGCAATACCAACCTGACTGGGAGGGGGCTAAAGACCCTG